ACATGACCATACAAGCCTTGGTTATCTGCAGGGTCAGTTAGCCTTAGGAGGGGTGCTATCTGCAGAGACAGCAAGACCCAAATGTCAAAACATCAGAACATGGACAATAAAATACAAGGTGACTGTTCATCCTTACGGAACACACACTACAGTGGGTGCAGAAGGCAAGGAAGCGGAAACCGGGACAAAGACTCCGACCTCGGCCGCTCAGCTGCAAGAGGAGGGGTCAGAATGGGAAAAGGTGCTGAGAAAGAAGCAGCTGCTTTCTAGGGAGAAGAAAAGAGTGGCTGAGAAAGCAAAGCCCGGGTAGCTCTGAGGGAGGCGCAGATATTGGGCTTGGGGGTGAGCATAGAAGCACGATGAATGATCTGGTTGCCTGGGAGACACTAGACTGAAAATGATAGTCATGACACGGGTTCTGGACCAACAGCAAGTCTCTGCCCCACATCCCGGGGATGCTGGTGATAGTTGGAGACATTTTTGATTGTCACACCTTGGAGATGAGGAAGAAGTCTACTGTTTGAAGGCAGTAGGCAGAAGTCAAGGGTGGAGCTGGGCATGGTGATGCATGCCTGTAATCCCAACAGAGACTGAAACAGAGGCAAATGGGTCTCTGTGAGTTCAAGGTCAGCCTGGTCTATGTAATGAGTCTCATGACAGCCAAGGATACATAGTGAGACTTTGTCAAAAAAAAAAAAGTCAGGGATATAATATAGAGATAGCTTCTCATTCCTAGCCTCACCGACAAAAAGCTGTCCTGCCTGAATGTCGGGAGTGTTGGGGATAGGAAGCCCTGAGCTAGAGGAAGGATTGATAAGGGAAAGTACAGGGATTTAATAGCCAAAGTCTGCAGGATTCCATGTTCTCTGGGACCTAGCCTGAGGTAGAAAAGGAGAAAGGCTGAGAGCTGGTGTTGGTAAAGTGTTTGGTCCCTCGAAACCTGTCAATCAGGGGCTGGGAAGAGAGGAGGGAGATGTTGGTCTAAGGCACAAAGATCAGTGAGGCGATCTGAAGCTCTGTTTTGTAGCACAGTGACCCACAGATAATACCACAAGTAGCCAAACGCAATGTCTCACACCTATAATCCCAGCTATTCAGGAGGCCGATGCAGAAGGATGGCAAATCCAAATCCACCTGGGCAACATGGCGGAACTTTGCTCGAATAATTATAATAACAACAACAATAATGTATTCTTAAAAACTGCTGTCATGTTGGTCTTCTGTGTTCTTATAACAACAAAAACGACAACTATATGAGGTAATAGGTATGGGAATTATCTTATTAATTTCACAATGTATGCATATATACATATACATATATACATGTGTATATACACATATATCAAGGCATCACAATGGGCATGATGGACACACTCAGTCTTCAGTAATTGACTGGAGGACTCTCCCACGGCTACTAAATTCCACAAGTGTTCGAATCCTTTATATAAAGTGGTGCTGTATTTGCCTGTGACCTATGAACATCCTTTTTTATACTTTGGATTTGTTACTGTTAATTTCTAATACACTATAAGTGCTATGGTGTAGTGTTTGGGTACCAACAAGAAAAGAAAAATGTTTGTTCAGCTTCAGTAAGCACAATCTTTCTCTCTCTCTCTCTCTCTCTCTCTCTCTCTCTCTCTCTCTCTCTCAACAGGGTTTCTCTGTGTAACAGTCCTGGCTGTCCTGGAACTCACTCTGTAAACCAAGTCGCTCTCAGACTCAGAGATCTACTTGCCTCTGCCTCCTGAGTGCTGGGATTAAAGGCACCACCACCACCTGTCTGACACAAAATTTTTCAGGCATTTTTTTATCCTAAATTGCTTGAATCCACAGATGTAGGATCCATGAACATAAAGCATCCTCTCTCTCTCTCTCTCTCTCTCTCTCTCTCTCTCTCTCTCTCTCTCTCTCTCTGTGTGTGTGTGTGTGTGTGTGTGTGTGTGTGTGTGTGTGTTTGAAGTCAGTGGTAAACTGGGAACTTAAGAAGAAGAGGGGTGGAAAATGAAGAGCCCTTGTGGTATCCCTGTACTTCGTGAGGGCGGGAACTGTATGTGTTCAGCTTTGCCAGCAACCCAGCTATGATGCTATTCAAATATTTTTGTTGAATGAATAATTTTTAAAAGTTAAATCAGTTGCAGCCTTCACCTCACCTGGAGCCCTTGTAAGTTTTATGGAAGCCCCCGTGAACTGGGTTTGCTTTTTAAATAATCAGCGTTTTAGATTCTGATGAAGGCAGAACATTCTCCAGAATCTATTATCTCATCTTACCCTTCACGTATACTCCTGGGCCCTCATCAAACACTTCATAAATACACCGCCATTTTTTTAACCCATTTCTCACCTTTCTTTTGTTGGTACTTTCATACGTGGGTACAATATGTTCTCTGCTCCCTGCTCAACTCCTGGTGGACCCTGCCTGCCACGTGTCCTTCCAAATTCATGATTGCTTTTCCTTCAAAGCATTTTCCTCTTTTGTCTGGTCATTCCCAGAGGGAGATGCAAGTATCCCCACTATTCCCCATGGTGATGTGAGATGATTTGAGGAGTTCTTCGGATAAATACTTTCCTAGCCATGGTTCTGTGGGTTTTGTGAATAAGCACATGGCTCCAACTTCATACCTCTGGTTTTTGGGTGGTCTTGTTTAGCACAAAGGTGCATTTTTAAAGAGGAATCCATTTTAAAATTTAAATAAATGGTACCCTAGATGACAAAGGAAATTGGTTATAGAGATATAAGAGTTACTGGTTTGGGGAACATTTGCATGCTGGCTAGTGTTTTGTCAACTTAATATGAACCAGAGTCCCCAGGAAGAAGGGACATCAATTGAGAAGAGCCTCCATCAGACTGATATGTGGGCAAGCTTGTGGTACATTTCTTGATTAATGATGGAACGGAGGGCCCAACTCATTGTGCACAGTGCTGCCCTGGACTGGTAGGTGGTCCTGAGTTACATAAGAAAGCAGGCTGAGCAAGCCAGTGGGCAGAGTTCCTCCATGGCCTCTGCTTCAGTTCCTGCCTTGACTTACCTGGGGGCTGTGAGAAGAAATAAATCTTTTTTTCCACCTTCATTGGTTTGGGCCAATGTTTTGTCTCAGCAACCGGATGTGAACTAGGAAAACCAGCTAAACCCATTTAAAGTTTGCTTTGCTATCCACAGGAAGGTGCTCTTTATTTCTTCCAAGATTGTTAGTCAATTATTCCAAACCATTTACTTAATTTCCCTTTGAAAATGCTTTAAAAATCATGTATCAGTTCTTATGCACGCAGTATTGCTAGACAATCTCTTCAGTTTCATTAACCTTTTTCTAGTCTTGAACTATTACTGCACTTTTAAATATCATGTTTGACTTACTACCCAGCCCCGCAGCTCTTCCATTCTACAAGGAGAGCTGCTTTGATGGCTCGGGTCTGAGAGGGGGTGCAAGTGGACAGTGGTCGCTGGGGACACCACGCCGAAGGAAGCCCTTAGGGTCAACCAGGCTGTGGTTCAGAACTGGGACCTGTGAGGGGTTCAGAATCCCAGTCGGAAGGGCAAGAGCTCTGCCTTCTGAAGAGAATGGAAAGACTGTAAAACCAAATCAATTAAATACTAGACAATAAATGAGAGTTAAGTGTGATGTTACTCTGTGTCATAAAGAACTAGGCTTGGAGGGGTAGAACTTGAGGGTGGGGACATCCTAGAGACCCTCATGCCACCTCCAATTATCTGACTACGAAACAGTAAACTAATGACTATTAGTCAGTAATGTTGAAACTGCATTTCAACAGATCAAAAAAATACTATATATATACATATATTTATGCATATATATGTACGTATGTATACACATGTATATACATATGATGATATCTGTATAAATCCAGTGTGCTGCTTTGCTATAACTTCTTCCCAAAGACTTCTCATTTAATGACAGTTTCCCCCAATACAAAGCTTCCCCTGGGATGTTAATTTTTTTCTTTGCTGTATACTAACCCCTTCTTTGAAGGGTTCAGTAGAACTTCAGCATACAAGTAAAATTCAAAATACCTTCTTACTCGCATCGCCTATAAATCGGTGGTGTGGGAGAATTATCTGTAGTCTGTCAATCATGTATTTTAATAAAACTCTGATTGGCCAGGCAGGAAGTATAGGCGGGAAAACCAGACAGGAAGTAGAGGTGATGCAATGAGAACAGGAGAATTCTGGGAAGCAGGAAGCTCCCTCGCCATTCCTGCGCAGACCACCGAAGAGGCAGCATGTAACTTGCCCGGCTGAGAAAGGTACAGAGCCATGTGGCTAATGTAGATAAGGATAATGGGGTAACATAAGTTATAAGAGTTAACAAGAAGCCTGACCTAATGGGCCAATCAGTTTATAAGCTTATGGAGTCCTGTGTGTGATTTTCCTTTGGGGCTTGCCGGTTGTAGGGTACTGGGAGGGACAGATACCCCAACAAGCCAGCCCCCTCATGTTACAAATCGGGGGGAAATTTTTAATAAAGAAAAATAGTTAGCCTTGTGTAGAACTTTTCTACAGCACGGGCACAGAGTGGGGCGCCAAGAACACTCACTCAAGCTTAACCTAAAGTCTTGAGCTTTTCAAGAGCCTGTTCCCCAGGACAAAGGACCCCCTCCATTGCCCACCTGCCTCTTGTCCCATCCATACTACACAGTAACACTAATCACGACAAAATAGACCACTGCCGCATTTGGTTAGAGGCACTGCCGAGTTAGTGCTGCTGCCTCTGTTGAATTTCTGGTGGCTTCTGTTTCCGGTGAATGTGAGGAAAAACATCCCACTACCCATGAGTGAAAGCAAGGGATGATGGGAGTGAGCGCTGCTGAGTTAGCTGGTGCCAATGACACGTTATGCTGAATCATGTCATCCACGTGGATTAGCCGAGGGAGACGTCTCCAAAGCGGTCTCTTGCCAATCTCAAATGGGTGTCTCAGTTGGAAGCATTCATCTGGGAGATGGGAGGATCTAAGAGACCCAAATATCCCAGCAGATTCCTGGGCTATGGCAGAGAACAAGACATGGCCCATTATGAAAAGTCCCGAGTCAGATGTTGTCATCTTTCTGGGGTCCCCCAGGTGAGCTCTGGGGTCTCCTGGTGATTGAAGAGGGCTTTGCAAGGAAGAGCTGCGCTGATAAATAATGCATTTCCTTTGTCTTGCAGGAATTCTGGAGGCAGAGGTACAATCAGATCAGCTGTGAACAGCTTACATAGCAAATCTAATAGGTTTGTAAATTAGATTTTGTGTTCATTTGTTTTTGCTGTAAGGCAGCTATTAATCTGCCTCTCCTCTTTGCTGGCTGGTGCTCTTCTTACTTAGCAAATAGATCTGTTTCATTTCACTTTGGTTTTGCATTTCCTTAATCACTTTCGAGGGGGGAGCTGTCAGCGGGAGATCACATGAAATGGTCCATGGGGCTAGCGAGGCTACAGAGATGGGAAACACAGGTGGGCACAAGTTACCTTCTGGCAAAGAGCCCACCCACTTCGTCGAGCTTGAACTCCCACCCACTTTCTTAGAACCCTCATTTTTGCTGAGCAGTGGAGCCCCGGAAGCAAGCCAGGACTTTAATCCAATTTCACTGTAGTTGATGGCTTGTCTGGGAGGTTGAGATGGGGATAAAGCATTCAAGAACTTTGCTGAGGCATCTTAAAATATGTAGGAAGTCAGCTAAGTAATGTTAACTCTAATTGTGGGATTGCAGTCTCAATTCTAGAAGCACACTCTTAACACTGTGGGACTGGAAGTCTTTGGGACAGTCCCCAGCTGGTGGGGAGACTGGTGCAGGGAACCGTGCAAGCGCTCTGCAAGGCGTGCTGCAGATACCCCTTGCTTCCCCTTCTCCATTCTCCACAAAATGATGAGTGCACCGTAGCTCGAACCTCTGTCTCAAAACCCACGTAGAAGGAGCAGGGAGGCAAGCGCCAAGATGTTTGACATGAACAGAGGCTACTGTTCAAACTGAAGTTCTTCTGTTACTTCCTCCACGTCCTGTTTTGCTGCTGTTGGGAATGAGAGGTTCATAACAGCCAGAGGCCACCACACTCAGTTTCATTATTTACTCTTCCGTGTTTTTTTAGGTCTTTTGACCGTACCCGATCTGTAAAGTATGTCTGATTTTGACCTTGCATAAATGGCTTGAGAAACTATTCCCTCTACCCTTGACCTCATCGCCTCTACGGTGCTAGTGGCCTCAACCATATGGCACTTCAAACGAAATGAATCTTTTGGCTAACATGTAAATACAGCAGAAATAAAGAAAGTCATATGTCCTATACTTCTCTCTGTTCTACCATGAAAAGATGCCCACTTTTGGAGAAAGGTGACCCTGTCCCCAAGACCCAGGTCTCCATGGTAACGTGAAGAGACACTGCCAGATTGAGTCTGAGAACTAGGCAGAAACCAGGCAGCCCTGGATTCAAACCCTGGGTTCTCTAGATAGGGTTTCGGGCAAGCACATTCACCTTTCAAACATTGATAAAGCGGCAGCTTTGAACTACTGACTCTAAGGCTCTACATAGCCTATCTCCTGAGATGACCAAGATATTCAGTAGACGTTTGCCACTGTCACTGGATGATAGCTTCAAAGATTGGTGACTGAGGGCAAAGTTCAAGAGTTGAAAGTGGGGCTGGAGAGATGGCTCAGTGGTTAAGAGCATTGTCCGCTCTTCCAAACGTCCTGAGTTCAATTCCCAGCAACCATATGATGGTTCACAACCATCTGAAATGAGATCTGATGCCCTCTTCTGTCCTGCAGGCAGACACACAGGCAGAATATTGTATACATAATAAATAAATAAATAAATAAATTAAAAAAAAAAAGAGTTGAAAGTGAAGCAACTCAATCCAAAAATGTACCTGTAGCATTTGGGAGATGAGAGAAGGATTCTGGGACCTGAAGGGCACATTCACAGAAGAGAACAAATCTCCCTCAGTAGTCCAGCTGGGTTTGGATAGCGCAGAATATCTGAAGCATGTAAACAGAGGCCGTCCCTCAGGATAGCTAAGCTGCCCCCTTTAGTGTATAGACATGAAGGCGAAGACCAGGAGCCTGAAGAGACCTTTTCATGCCCTCTAGCCAGATAGTCACAGAGCCAGGGTTGAAGTTCCGCACCAAGGATGTCTATGCAAGATTTCCCTGACAGCTAGGAACCAGGATCAGAATGACATGTTACCATTATCAGTGCCTGGATCCTTCTTTTACCACCTTGTGCCCAAGAGAATCTGGGAGACCCCACCTAGAGATTTCCGAGCAGGTCCCCATTACAAGCTTCCATGAGTCCGGAGCTCTGCAGATGCTTTCTCCTGAGCATGCCTGATGCCAAGCAAAATGTCCAGTTTTTAGGGAGTATCACCAGGGACCAAATTCACCTAAAACTACAAGATGCCAGCCATGATGCGCCTAAGAAGACCATGTCCCATCTCAAACAGTAAACTACTTCTGTCACTCACCCCTACTAATAATGGAAGTTGCCGTGAATATTGGAGGACTTGGAATGTGACCACTATACTCATGGTCCTGAGTTTACCGTTCTTGCCTCAAACACACATAAAGAGGCAGTAAGTACCAGGGCTGGGAAGATAGCTCAGTGGGGCGAGTGTTTGCTGAGCAAGTCTGAGGTGATGTGTTCAATCTGAAGAACCCATATTAAACAAAACCAAAATTAAAGCCAGGTGCAGAGGTGTGCACCTGTAATCCTAGCACTTGGAAGGCAGAGACAGGTAGATCTATGGAGCAGCTGGCTAGACAGTCCAGACGAACTGGGAACTCCAGGTTCAGTGAGAGACACCGTCTCAAAAAATAAGATATGCCAGAAGGTGGTGGCACATGCCTTTAATCCCAAGCACTCAGGAGGCAGAGGCACTCTGTGAGTTCGAGGCCAGCCTGGTTTACAGAGCAAGTTCCAGGACAAGTCCCAAAGCTACAGATACCTTGTCTTGAAAACCCAAAATAATAATAACAATAATAATAATAATAGAATAATTGAGGAAGAAGCCTAACATCCTATACACACACAGAGAGAGAGAGAGAAAGAGACAGAGACAGGGACAGAGAGGGAACAATACCAGAGAGGATGCAGCCATACCAGCCTCCCTGGACCCCTGAGAGGTGGTAGGAAACATAGCCATCCTTTAAGAACTCTAGAACCTCAGAGCCTGGTGCATTCCTCTTAGCTCCCTTCTTTCTGTAAATACCTAGACTGTGGCTTGGAGTGGTAAGGCGATTTGTCCACAGGTGCTCAGTTTGTGAAATACCTCCACGATACATTCCGCTTCCTTCCATGAAACCATAACAATTCCGAAGTTTGGGCTTTCTGTCCTCTTCCATAAGATCCCTTAAGCCCCTCTGCATAGTTACCTGGTCTATCCTCTGCAAAGCTACAAGACAAGTGCCAAGAGCCAGAGGAGTAAGGGATACGGAGGGATAAAGGTGGGCAGACGTGGCGAGGGTGCCATACAGGATAGCCCCCTGAAAAGAATTTCTTTTCTACCTCCGTAAAAGCAAAACAGAGTACTGAGTTCAGGCTTCACTAACAGGATTTGGTCTTTCTGAACTTGGCTGTTCCAAGACAAATGTAGAGGACAGAGGTGTTTGGTTTGAACTCTCAAAAGCTCTAGAATCCAGCCTTACAAACCCACTTATCATTCTAGCCAAGAGAATGTGCTGCCGGCTAGACAAAAGGAACTTGGGACGTGACCCACATATATCTGTGTGCGCTGGCAGGAGGCAGGCTGGCTCCTAGACTGCCTTCAAAGCTATCAGTGGAGCCTGGTTTCTTAGAAACCTACTAGCATAGATTTCAAGTATCTGCGTTCAAAAGCCCTCCCATGCCTGCTGTCCCTAAGTTGGACAGGAAGATGGTTTCTATCCAGCCTGCGGATCTGCCTCAGGAATACAAAACCAGCCAGCTCCTTCCTCCACACCAGGCTTCTCAGGACCAAGTTCAACGTCAAATTCAACAAGTGGTTACTTATAGGACACCTGCTATGTTAAACTGTTATGAAAAGGAGACGTAGGAGAAAAACCCCACACTTGAAGCCTGGTAAGACAGGCAGATACAAGACTAATAATCAAATCATAGATGGGTATTTTTTCTATGAGCAACAAAAGGGGGGCCCGATGAGATGGCACAGTAATCAAAGGGACACTCCACAAAGGCTGATAATCTGAGTTTAACTCCCAGAACTCACATAACAGAAAAGGAGAATGGACTCTTGTCAGTTGTTCTCTGACCCCTCCACACACACACACACGCATGCACACACGTGCACATGTACACACACACACACGCGCACGTGCACGCACATGTGCACACACACAACATACATACAAACACAAATGTATTTGAAAAGGTTTTACAAAGAAGAAATGATAGGAAGGAGGGAAGGAGGGCAGAGCCACAGGCTCTAAGGACATTGTCTGCGTGGGGTTTAGTTATCTCTTAACTTTTGCGGGCTGCCATTTAACAGCTGGCTCCTTGCTCTTGTGGACGCTCCTCTCTGTACTGAGAAGGGAAACTGCACTGTCCTGGCAGAGACTGTCGGTTCCCCTGGAAGCTCAGAGATGGGAGGAGGGAAGAGCAGTTGTAGGGCCCCCACTTCCTGCTTCTAAGAACCAATGTCTGCCGGCTATTCCTGAGGGAGCGAGTTCGTGCGTTCTAGAAGATAAATAGACTTCCCTTCTCAGGTAATAACTGCAATTTCGCTCTTGTGAAGTTTACATTCAAGCCCGTGCAAAAACAAAACTATTAGACTTGTCATGGGCAGGCTCACAGATCTTGTCTACCTTCGTGTTTTTCCCCCCTTTCCAGAGCTGAGGTTGTAATAAATGGCTCTTCACTGCCAGCTGTTGTTGACAGAAGTAATGAGAGCATTAAACACGGCATCCAGCCGGCTTCATCCAAATGGAGACACAACCAGACACTCTCTCTGAGGATCAGGTATGGGTCATTACCTACAGGACAAGAGAGAGAGGTGGGGGGGGGGGGCAGGCAGGCCTGGCTGTCTGTACCATGAGTCACCAAACTGCAACTCTGTTATCTAAAGAAGCCAGGATAGAAATGAATGTTTTCCTCCTGAGGAAGCAGGTTCCATCTATTAAATGATAATTAAAAATCAAAATCTGGGACAAGCCCAGCCACCTGGCCCATGTGGATATGCAGCCATGTGGGCAAGGGGAGGTGGCATGTGTGACCAGCCCCCTAGGGACATCAGTTTAAGTCGGGAACTCCGCTTCTGCGCAGTGCAGGTCACGGGTATCTTTCTCTGGCATAAACAGTTGTTTCTTGTTTGTCTTTCCCTGGTACTTATGTCCCCATTCTGTGACAGTCCTTCACCTTGTCTGCCACCTCCCACGGCCCTTAAAGAATGAAAGACTTTAAGGTAGTCTCCCTACCTCCACCCACATGAAAACGCAGAACTATAGCTGAAAGACACACACAGAACTGACCTGACATCTGGTCGACCTCCAAGAGACTGATCTGTCTAAATCAGAGAAAAGTTTTTGTCCTGGCCTTGGCACCCTCAGACAAAAGTCATCCTCGGGTGGTGGACATGGGGAGAAATGATAACTTTGGTGCTTGGGACTTTGGCTCAGATGCAGTCAGAACTGACCCATCTGGTGCTCATTTCCGAGCATTGACCTGTGGCCCATAAATAGGCAAAGTTAGGCAGAAAAACACAAAAATAAGCAAAGACAGGACAACAAGGTAGGATTTCACACCAGGTGGTACTATATCTTGCAGATTGGTAAAGCTAAAGAGATTGTACTGAAGGGAGCCATTCATTTTTCTAAGGGGTCCAAGAGGGCTACTGGGTAAGGCTGGCCTATAACAATGTTTTGAAGGGTAATTAGGAGTTTATCAGGTGTGCCATGTGCATCCTGCATGCACACATTCTGAACATGGTATTTGTGACCAGGGCTGAAAGAGCACTAAACAGAAGATAGGGAATGGGGCGTGGGAATGAGGCAGTCAGGACCATGTAAGGAAAGGTTTGATTCCCCAGGCCATCAGTATGGTGAAGCAGGAGAGGTGAAGGACCACATACACTAGTGCACTAAGCAGGGAGTTGCCCCCTCCAGTGACTCTACCCCCTAGCTCTAGGTGCTTCATGGGAAAAGAAAAAGGGTGTGGGACTAAAAAGTGTTGCCATCTGGGAGCCTGACAACTGAGAGGCCACTTGGAAGAGCTGCCACCAGGCGATCTTTCTCAGTACCTCTTTTTGGGTCACCTAAGTGAGACCCACCCTTGTTGCACTGACTTGACAGTCACGTCCTTTCCTCTGGGTACCATGGAGCTAACAGAGCAGCAACCCCCACCAATCTAAGGCTAAAGTCAAGCCTTTCTCCCCTAGATGGTTCTAGAAGCCTCAGTTCTGAGTGCTGTCCCAGCAGCTCCAGGAGAGCCCTCCTTGCTGCTTTTGCAGACTTCTGGGGGTCCTGGATGTCCCCGTGGCTGTATCACCTTCATATCTATCTATTCTGTCTCATCATCTGAGTCGGTGTAACTTTATCCTCCATCTCTCAGCGGACACTGTCACTGGATTTAGAGCCCACGGGGAATCCAAGATGATCTCATCTCAAGATCCTAAATCATATCTGCCAGGATGCTGTTTCTGCATAAAATCACATTCACAGGTTCCAGGGATTCAGAGTTGGCCATATATTTTGGGTGGCCACCATATTTCATGTTCCCCATTATAGCACCTGAGGGTAAAATCCTACTGCCAGCACCCACCCACGTCAGCTCCTTCTGGACCTTCCCTGTAGGAACTCTGAAAAGGCAGTAAGGAATAGAGAGACGCACACATGCACACACATGTGTGCACATTTGCACACTCACACACATGGATGCACATATATATATATATACATTCATACACATACACTCACATGCATAGTTGTGGGTACACACATGCACGTACACGCACACATGATACACACACACACACACACACACACATCCTGTCTGTGTAGAAAAGGAGGCCATTGCCTCTGTAAGGAGCCTGTAGTCAGCAGCCACTGTAGAAAGAACAATATGCCTCCACCCAGAGGGAAAAGGAATCTCCCTCCACTCAATTAGTTCCCAAAATTATTCACAATAAAAGATTCTGTGAGTGATTTGGAATGATATTTAATAATTGATTGTAATTTCTCATAATTAGTTAGAAATTAATTCCCTCACAGAGGTATTTATTTATGAGCTTTCTGGGGGCTCTCTTTGCTTTTAAATACTTTGGGGTAAGTAATTGCAAGGGATATTAGCAATTTACAAAGTATATTAGCGTGTCAAGTTGTATAGTCTTTCGTGAAGTGGAGTAAGTCAGTCGCTTTTCTTTCCTGTTAACAAGTAAGAAGTCCTCAGCCAAGGTGGCTTCTCCCTGCGCAGTAACTGGAGACTCCAGTCACTAATGGACAGTGGCTAGTGGACGGAATGTGCCATGCCCAAGGGGTGCTGGCTGCCCCCTTGACTGTCTCAGAACACCCTAAATCTAGATATATATTAATCATTCGACTCAGACCCCCACAGAATCAGGTTTCCTCAGGTGTCAGTCACAGCTTCCAGATTCTTCCTCCTTTCCAAGTACACAGACTTGCGACCTCCTAGGACTTGCCTCAGGGTACTCTGCAAGCTCAAGGCTCAGTGTGACCATGTACACATCCAAGAAGAGTCACACATTTGCAAGCCACACATGCATTTGTGGAAGGAAGACAAGCTTCCTTGGCTCGGTTCTCAAAGGGGAAGTAGGGACTTGCTGCAGGAGATACAACTAGACCAGCTGACCCGAGCACCCAGCTCCTTTCTCTGTATGACTACAATCATCACCATGTCTTAAAAATGGTGGCTTAGGCGTTTTATGTGTCTGTCTGTCTGTCATCCGTGGGTGCATGTGTGTATATAGGCATGAACATGCAGAAGGCAGGGGTCACCCTCTGGCATTGTTCCTCACAAGCTGTCCACATTGGTCTTGGAGACAGTCTCCCATTAGCCCAGAACCTGCTGAGTAGGCTAGACTGGCTCGCAATGGAGCCCCAGGGATCTGTGCATCTTCACCTCCCCAGCCTGGGATGACAGGCACATGACACTGTGCCTGCCTTTTTAAGATGTGGGTTCCTGAGATGAGACTTAAGCCCTCAAGCTTGCATGACAAGCCCTTTGTCGACTCAGCTGTCTCTCTAGCTCCTTAAGCAGTTCTTTTTAAAGTTGAATTAAAATATAATTGCATCATTTTCCCCTTCCCTTTTCTCCCTCCAGCCTCCCTCATGTGTCTGCCGCCATTTCAAACTCATAGCATTGTTATATACGTGTGTGGACATGCACACATGTATCTATATATGAATGTTTATAGTCCTAAATACATAAACACAACCTGCTCGGTCTGTATGTTGCTTCTACGTGTGTATGACTTCAGGGCTGACCACTTGGTATTGGATCACCAGCTAGGGGCTATTCTCTGGGGAGACTATCCTGCTTTTGGTATTCCTTGGTTGTTTGTAGTTCTTTGTCTACTGCTGTGGGCCCTGTGAGAGTTCTCCCCTCCCTCCATGTTAGCCAGTATATGGGTGTCATCCTTGACCCAGTCCTTAGGTTCCTATAAGTGGAGCTCACACTGGTGCTCAGGCCCCTAGAGATAGGCTGTGTTTGGCTAAATTCTCCTGAGTTCATGAAGACACCTATTCCTGTTCCAGTGTCTTCCAGCCTTTCCTTGTTCTGTTCTAGAACTTTCCCTCTAGATCTAACTTACCCCAGAACCTAGAGAATGGTGTGATGTATTTTGACCACGCTGTTCTGAACAGGCCCAGAGGATCCTGTCTCTGTAGGATCAAGGAGATGTCATGATTCACAACCCCCCACCAGACAACACTAGAGAAATAAGAGGCATTACACATAATGGGCCAGTGCACAGGCCAGGAGGCTACACTTACAGAATCTTCCAAGTGGAAGTAGCAATTCCCCATCACAGTTCCACAAACCCATCTACAGAAGGATGCCACCTCTGCTACCCCTCCCTGCCCCGACCACCACCATCATGGTCACCTGTAGAAGCCTTCTAGGAAAAGCAGAGGCCAATAGGGGATCAGGGCACACATCACTCTGACTCCCTGTTAGATGAAAGTTCCTCTAAGACAGGCAGTTTGATGTAGGCTGGGCCAAAGGGCTGGGTTTGCCCACTACTGAAGATTTCCTGGTGTCAGTGTAGCATCCTTTTATCTAGGGCCTTCTGCAAAGCCAGAGAGCATCCTTGAAAGCATTTGAGCCTCCAAGTGTGCTCACCTGGTTCCTGGGTGGTAGCATCCTCGCAGGGTGACATGGAGTAGAACATCTGAGCCTGTTAAGAGCATCTAGCAGCACAGAGACTTTCTTCATTTGGTTTCCACAGGAAGCAGATTTTAAAGTTCTTGGATGCGGAGAAGGATATTTCCGTCCTTAAGGGGACCCTGAAGCCCGGAGATATTATTCATTACATCTTTGATCGAGACAGCACAATGAACGTTTCCCAGAACCTCTATGAACTCCTTCCCAGAACCTCACCCCTGAAGAATAAGCATTTCCAGACTTGTGCCATCGTGGGCAACTCGGGGGTCTTGCTGAACAGCGGCTGTGGGCAGGAGATTGACACACACAGCTTCGTCATAAGGTAACCAACCATCTGCGGCAAGGGTTTGGACCCTAAGTGGCAGGTATATTTAAGTCAGGTGACTGAAACAGGACATATTTGTCAGGTGCATCCTGTTCTCAACTTCCACTGCTTGTCATACTTGCTTTGGGGGAGCATTGGGTAGTTATCTGTCTCATCACTGCACCCAAACACCTGACAAAAGCACCTTAAAGGAGCAAGGGCTTGTTTGCACATGTGGTCTGAGGGTCCATCATGATGGAGAAGGCGTGGCAACAAGAGCATAAAGCATCTGGTAAGATCACATCTGCAGTTAAGAAACAGGGGTAAATGTCTGTGCTCAGCTCTTTTCTCCCCTTCTTATTCAGCCTGAAGACCCAGCCCTTAGGATGAAACAACAACATTTGGGGCAGGGCTTACTTCTTCAGTCAAACCTCTCTGAAAAGTTCTTCAAAGTCATATCCAAAGGTGTGTCTCCCAGGGGATTCTAAATTCAATCAAATTGGCAATAAAGATTCATCACAGGGATCCTTATTTCCAATCAGAATGTACATCTAATCAATTAAGTCACCTTGGGGACAGGACAGGAGCATTGTGTGACCCAGAGAGTCCAGGTGATTCTGGATTATAAGGTTGGGAATCAGAAAGAAGAGTTCAGAGGTGGGCAGACCATGGCCCTCCGTATGCTTTGTAAATAAAACTTTATTATAACACAGCCACTCAGGCCCACCCTCATCCTTTTAGCTTTCTGGGCAAAGCTGGGATGTTTTTGCTAAAGCAATACAGAGCACATATAGCCTGAAAGGCTGAATATATTTATTGTCTGGCCCTTACAGAAAGAACTTGTTCTCTGAACACTAGACAGAGCCTGGCACACAGGGGAGTAAGAAAATCTGGATGGGTAGTTCCTGTGCTGGGGCCATAAAAGTCATCCAGTATTCTGGAAGGCGTATTCCACCTGTAACCTTAGTATTCTGTAGTCAAAACTTAGGAAATGAAGAGTGATAAAGAAACTCAACAGTCATTTTCTCTGTGACATCGGCTCTTGTTTTGCCATCACTTGGGACATTGTGACAGCTACCCAGAGACCTGACACCTAACCCTCGAGCCATACAAACTCAGAAACAAGGTATTGCTGTCTTCTAGACAAAAGTAGGACACAGGGTGCCTCAAGTTTCATCCCAAAGTGCTGCCAGCCCTGGCAGAAATGTGCGCCACATCTCACATTTCTGCTAGGACTGCCCTTGTGCAAAGAGGATCTCTCATTCTGGGGTTTTGGGAGCATCACGACCAGCGAGTTCCCTGAACCTGAGGACATGGGAAGAAATGAGTAGAATCACTCCCGCATCCCCTGAGACTGGAGGTGCTACAGTAGCCTGGGTACCAGTTACTTCCTTTTTGTTCCCCTGACCAGGTCTTTCTGTGACTAGCAGAGCCAATAGCTCTGTCCTACCTTTCCAAGCCCTCCAGTCTAAAGAGAGGGTCTGGGAAAGAAAAGAGAGGAAACTGTGTGGAACTTGTCTGATTGGAAGCCAGAGAGGTGAGGGGTAGGAGAATGGCTGTTAAAATGGAGGACACAGGGCAAAGCCTCCTCCTGGGGTCAACTCTCCTCCAGGGTGCAGCCAGCAGTGAGGAAGTCTTTCCAACCTCATATAACTCTCGCAGGACAGGCAGAGTAATGCGTTTCGACAGTCAGCTTCCCAAGCCACACTAAGCCCCACTCCTGACTGCAGAGAAAAGATTCACCCTGAAGATGCTTGGCCTTCTATGAGCTGGGATCCCTAACTGAATGAAAAAGAATTTCTAGAAGTCATGGCCATGGTCAACCCATAGTTCCCAGTGTGGGTTCTGAAGCTCAGTCTTGGCTCCAATGATCATTTGTCAAGTGACCTGGAGTAGATCACTCACTCCCACTTCCTTGGTTTCATCTGTAAAATGTCTGGGTTGTGTTGGCTCGGATTCTAAGGTCCTCCCATGATGAAGCCTCTCCAGATGCTAAGCCAGCTTTCTCCACACTTTAATGTGGACGCATATCTTTTGGCTTATTGAAATACAGAGGCATGAGATATGAAGTAAGCCTGAATCTCTGGGTTTCCCACAAGACCATAACGGGGGTTTATGCAAGATGCAGCAATGAATGTATGCAAGATGCAGCAATGAATATATGCAAGATGCAGCAACAAATGTATGCAAGATGCAGTAAGGGAGGTATGCAAGATGCAGCAATGAATGTATGCAAGATGCACATAAAGAGCCCAGGCTTCAGCATGCTCTGCTGACCCCCACATCCACAAGCACACTTCCACTCACACACACAGAAGAACATGATGTCATGAATGGTATACATGGGCATGCCCTGTGTCTCCCACATGATGGGACATTGAGTATTCATTCTCTATAAACCCTGTGTCTCCACTGCACTACCTCACCCCCAGACAGCGAGCTCCTGAAATGATAGGAGTTTTTTTGTGGCTGTGCCTTGATCCTGGTGTGCCTAGCACACAGCAGGGCTCCACAGGCCTGCACACCAATGCCAAATACTGAAACAGTCCCTCCTAACGAATGCCTGTCTCCATCTATCAAAGTCTGCAAAATTAGTTTTCCTCATTTATGTTTCGGCCACACTCCATGTGAGGGACACACGGGACATGGCCACCTTCTCAGAAAACTATTGGGGAACAGGACCCCAGAAGCCCTAGTAGGTCTCAAGACACGTGGAACAGAGTGAACTTGCAGTGTGCACCACCTCCCACAAGGAAGAGCAGACCACAAGGGGAAGGATGGGGAAGCAAGTCCGGGAGACTGTATTGAGCAGATGCTGGTTGCATGCCAGCTTCTGGGAACAGAGATGGCCGGGACAGCTAGGCATGAGAGGATGACACAAGACTACAATACCAGGATGAGGAGAGATGCCATTCTCAGCTTCCTTCTTCTTAGTAACACACCCACACCCACACACCCACACACACCCCCACACACACGTGCACACACACACACACACACACACACACGGGGAAATCACCATCAGCATAGACCCTTTAGATCGGCTGTCCCCTCAGCACATTAGTAATAGCATGTTCATGGCATTTGGTGTTGGCCTGTGCACACCTATGAGTTTATTTAACTCTCAGCACTGTCCTTCCCAGTGAGGAAACTGAGGCACGGATGGCCCAGATCCAGGTGACTAGCTACACAGTAGGGTTAGGCTGTAGAGCTGGCAGCCTGGCTTCGAAGCCATAACTGCCCCTTCATCTTGAGGCTTACTCTACATGTACCTGTGGATACAGTTATTTTGAAAGGGGCCAGCTCCCTTCCTGCCAGAAGCCAGGCCCATCTACAGTGCAGCTTCTTCGCCTAGAATTCTCTTTGAACAAGAGCGCCTCCGCCAGAGCCAAAGTCAGAAAGGACTTGACCACACTTTAATAGAAAAATAAATAAATAAATAAATAAATCATGTATTCTATGTCAGTGGGAAGGAACATTTCCAGAGGCCACATGTTGTCTCAACTGTTCACCCACCCACCCCCGCGATATCCGCCCCCACACATGCCTAGCGGCAATGTCCTCAGTAAGATATATCATTGGGCAAGCTTGACTCCCACAGACCCCACCCCCAACTCCCCATCCCAACCCCATGTAGGTTGTGAAGCCACTGCTGTGAACGGCCCTGCCCTCAGAGGGCACAAATACCCTGTCTCTTCCAGCGGAGGCCTTTTTGGTCCTCATGATAGTAATCAGTCAGTGTGTTCCCCACCATCTGAGCAGTCCTCAAATTTGCTAGATGCCCACTCAACCTCTGCTGCCTCCTTTGCCCCGCTACGGTTAGCAGTGGTAATCTCCAGTGAGCCTGACAGGATTCAATCCCCCTGGGGATTTAATCAGCCAAGTTTCGGAAGCCTGGCTCAGCTGGCCTTGGAGTAATTGGGAGACATGGGTGGCCCAGGCAGGGCACTGTGCTGCAAGTACCTCTCACTCTCTGTGGCATGGAGCAGGGGCATCTGAAGAGGTTCCCAGCATTTCCGGTCCCAATAAAAGGGATGGGGACAAGGTATTGGACGGGGTGAGGCTCCCAAGAGATCACAAGCTTCCAAATCCTAATAGTTCCCTTCCTGGCTCAGGGAATTTGGGCAAGTCAGTTGGTGGCTGAGAACTTCCTTTCTCTGTCTCTATAACAGGGTTATTATTACAGGTTCACAGTAAAAATGAACTGACTTGTGAGAGGGAAAAAATACTAGCCAAGTGGCCAGTGTAGCCCAGGACTCAGGGATGCCAGTATGCTATCCACTTAACTGGCTTTCTTTCCCAGGCAAAGAAGAAAAGTTGTTGCTTAAAGGCAAATGGTGTCTGAGCTACACTGGAAGCAATGGCGCCTGGCCCCTCGCTTACACACCGTCAGCCTCCACACTGCCCATACTTGCTCTGGGTTCTCCATTAATTCCCGCTGATCCAAAGACTGTTCTTCCCATCCATATCTCCAGGGAGGAGAGTAAGCGCTTCCTGCCTGCAGACTCAGTCCCAGGGGCCCTTCAACAGCTGGGCCAGAACTCTGGAGGAAGGGACCCAAGGCCTACCTTCAGGGAATAGGCAGGCTGACTGGTTCAGCAAGAGATTGCAGGATACAGATCGGCCCATTTGCTCTTTCCCCCAGCACCCTTCAGATGGCTTCCTACCGCCTTCGGAGCCAAGTCCTTACATATCCAACCTCTGATGTCTCATCTGGCTTCCCTGTCTCATCGATGTAATCCATGCTAGTCAGACCAATTCACGTCCCTCCTCTAAGAACCATGCTTCTTTGCATTCGATGCCCTCAGGCAAATTTTCTGTGCCTCAATTTCCATAGCATGGTGTGTGTGTGTGTGTGTGTGTGTGTGTGTGTGTGTGTGTGTGTGTTTAAGTTGCTTAGAACCCAAAGAGGAAGAGATTTTTAGAAAGAATATGTATGCACATGATATACATATAAATTCCTAAGCTCTGCGGCTTGCTGAATCAGGACCTGGGGAATCCTATTTTTAACAAGTCTCTGTGGGAGTCCTCTGACATTACAAACTGGAGACGAGCTCTCCTTCCCTCCTATCCACCACTGCTCTTTTGCTCATCCATCCTTTAGATTTCCCTCCCCGCTCTGGCACCTGATAGTCCCCTACCCCCGATAGAAAGATGACAGCAGTTACCATGGGCTATGCCCTCGTTGTGGTCCAGGAGCATCCTGAGTACCCACTGTTCTTGTGGTCTCTGCCACGAACCAAAGTCACGAAAGCTCGTTGGAAGCACAGAGAGGCTGAGAAAGCCGCCGCCCAGGTACAGAGTGTCAGATCTGAGTGTTGAACCTGGAAATCTGTCTTCTGAGTCTCCACTCTAAGGTGTCACCAAATGGGCCAGGGCATACCTACTAAGAGTGACCTCATTGTGGGGCTGAGGGCCAGCACTGTGCTTCCTCTTTTAGATACTGACCTCCAATGGCATTTTGTGTTTAAGGATATGATTGGGGTTCACTTAAACATTTGAGGCAGGAAAGAAGAGATGGGAAACACCAGTGAAGTACCCTTGATGCATTTCTGAGGAGAAAGAGAAAGAAGCACGAAGCGGAAGAGGGCAGGGTAAAGTTCATGTCAGAAGGACCATCCCAAATAACCAGGTTGCCATTCATCCCTTAGGTGCAACCTGGCTCCAGTTCAGGAGTATGCCCGGGACGTGGGCCTCAAGACAGACCTAGTGACTATGAACCCCTCAGTCATCCAGCGGGCCTTTGAGGACCTGGTGAATGCTACGTGGCGGGAGAAGCTGCTGCAGCGGCTGCATGGCCTCAATGGCAGCATCCTGTGGATACCTGCCTTTATGGCCCGGGGTGGCAAAGAACGTGTGGAGTGGGTCAACGCTCTCATCCTGAAGCACCACGTCAACGTCCGCACGGCCTACCCTTCCCTGCGCCTGCTGCACGCAGTCCGAGGGTGAGTGTGGCATCGTTGCTGAGGGTTGGGTGTGCGTGGTAAACAGGGCTGCCTCTCAGATGCGCTTCCATCTCCACACCCGTTAGCTGAGTGCTCTTAGCAAGCTTCCTGGACTTTCTGGAGGCTCTATCAGCAATGAGGGCGGCTGGCAGATGGGTTTCATCTGGGTGAGCTCCCTACTCCCTGTGCTCTTAAGAAAGCAATTGGAGGTTGTTTTGAGGCTCAATGGGAACCGATGCAGCGGACTTGGGAAGGAAGATGGTGACAGGTATGTCACATGCCCGCCATCTCAGGTAGGTGGTTTCCACCAGGAGCGAATGGCTTTGACTTCAACATGTCACCCCAAGCTCTGGAGACTTTCATTTCCTCATCAGTAAGCAGGAGTGGGAAGGTTAACATTGCCGGAGTGTAAAGACTAAATGAAATGAGGTCTGGACAGCAATTAATACAGACACGCTGTCATTGCTAACACCGTTGTCACCGCCATCCTTGATTCTCATACGAAGCCCTGGGTTCAGTCCCCAGCACTGCACAAACCAGGGCATGGTGACTAAAAGCTCTGTGCTGGAGGAGGAGGATTGGAAGTTCAAGGTCATTCTCTGCAACATAGGGAGTTCAAGGCCTGCTTGGGCTGCATGAGACCCTGTCTCAAAAAAAATTTTAAAAAAAATTAAAAATTGATTAAATCCACATTGAATCACTTGGGCTTTTCAACAGCCCAGCCAGACTGGTATTTCCTTACTTCCTGCTTATTTCTTCCCAACTGCGAGACCAGGCACAGGCCCACCCCCAAGGGCTCTGGGCCAGGAGTCTTCCTGAGGTCACACCTTGGGTCACACCAGGCAGCAGAGCTGGATGCTAATCCCTCACGCCCTTGGTTCCAGTTATCTATTACAGGGTCAGAAATCACCCCCAAAACTTAGAATCCTGAAAAAAAAAAAAAAACAGTACCTGTGTTTTTCCTAATTGCTATTAGTCGGAAACTCAGGAATAGCTTGTCTGGGCGGTTCTGGGCAAAGATGCAGTCAGATAGATGGTAGCTGGGGACAGAGCACTGGGGACAGATGGTATTGAGTGCATCTCTTGTCACATCATTTTGGGGTCAGAGCTTAAGCACATGAGTGGATGGTGGTGCTATATTCTGGCATATGAGAGAACCTACGGAAGCCTACATGGTGGGGCGGGAGGGAGTAGGTTTTGAGGAATTGAGTACTTTCCTAGATATAGATTTGACGTGTCTATCAGGTATATGTGTCATATATATATATATATATACATATATATATATATTATACATATACATATATAGGTCAGGATACTGACCTATCCAACTGTCCACCCAACCAATGAGCCAATCACAGCCCTACTCGGTGGCACCTCAACATAATAACTGGAAAGCCATCTGAACCCCCTTCATAGGACCCATGCTCGTGAAAAAAAAAAAAAGGTGAGCCTAAGACATTCATTGGACGTATTTTGGTATGTGTGATCACAGGGAACACACTGGTCCCAAGACAGATCTCAAGAAACAAACCACAAGGGTAACCACATTCGAGGCTGGAGGGACAGAGTGACCCCTGTTCCAGAAGGACACAGAGGCCCCAGGGAACCTCTTCAGCATCTTTTCACTGAGTTCTGTCAGAGTGGGCCTGTCAGAGTAACCTTGCTCTCCAGGGCTTAGGTCCCAAGCCTTGAAGGCCTTTTATTGCTAGAAGGAGGCCCCTCCTGAGTTGATTTGGAGATTCAGGGAGAAAACCTAGGGCAGACAACTGTCCTTTGGCAACAAGAGCAAAAGTCTTTTGGATGGGCCAGGCAGCCACCTGGAAGAAGCCTCTGCAGCCAGAGCTATTTTTAGCTATAATTGACTCACTTTCATCTGTCAAAATAGCATTAAGCAGCAGTAATGAGCCCTTTAAACAAACAGGCTGTTGATCCCGGGAAGAAGGCAGCTCTCTCTGCCAGCAGTCCAGGAGGGAATACTGCAGGAGCAACAGGTGGGCTGCCCCACCTCCAGCTTGGAGCCAGGAGAGGAAGGAAAGGAAGAGATGCCTTGGGGTGGGTTTTCTTACACAGACCCCTCCATCTTCCGGGGTCCTGAGCCCAGTGAGAAGGTGGGCAGCCTGTGTCCCTGGGAAAGGGCTTGCCTCCATCTCTGGCCTTACCTGGGACTCCCTGAAAATGAAGGAACATATTTGCAAGGGGTGCAGAGTGAAATCGTGGGAGAAATGTCCCAGGGATGGTGGAGAAAGAAGGCAGGGGACCAACTGTGTATACATGATGATCAATTGGGGAAGTGAAAAAGAAAACCTATCGAATAGGCAGAAATATTTAGAGGTAGTAAGTTCGGTGAGGGATGAACACCCAGGACCTGTAAAGATCTCCTACAGCGTTAACAGCAGAAGCACCAACAACCCAATTCAGAAAATGGGAGAAGGATTTGAATAGACATTTCTCCACAGAAGCTAGGCACATGGATAATTAGCATATGACAAGCCATTCAGCATCACGGATGACGGCAGAGAACATAAAACCACAGCGGGGTACCACTTCTCACCTAGAAGCATAGCTGCCATCCAACAAATTAATAAAGCGGCCAGAAGACAACACACGTCTGAGAGGACCTGGAGAATCTGGCACTCTCGGGCCGCTGGTGAGGATCGCCAAGGAGAGGTGGCTTTTGAGGCATGCCAGTATCTTCCCTTATTAACTCTCAGGAACGTCTGGTGGTCCATACAAGGTGACCCAGCCAGTAAGCCACCCAACCAAGAATAGAACCGTGCCATCTGCCTCCCAGTGTATCAAGTGCAGTGGGGACCTCTGCCTCTTTATGTCCAGATCTGCAGGGGCCGGAGAAGTTCAGTGGGCCTGGGAGCATCGCCCTGGCGTAGAGATTCTGGGTTCACACAGCAGTTATCCAGGGCCGGGGGCAGCTTTCCCAACAAGCAGGACAAGGCGAACTGTTCAAAGAGTCACAACATGCATCAGCACCTAGGGGGACTCTATCTTCTTAAAACCTTCTTGTCCCTGGACCAGATGGGTTTGTCTTCCCTGATTCACTTGACTGTTTCTTTGCATGTGAGATAGCCCTCTGAAGAGAAGCAGACATGCTTAGACGTCAACTGTTCAATCAGACATTCTGAACGTGCTGTGGCGGAACCAAAATGAAAAACGGGAAAACAGATGTGGAGCACGTGCTATCACAGCTACTATGCTTAGGGGCCAGACGCCATGCTGAGTTTTGCCCCATTATCCCCATTTTAAAGATGGAAAAACTGAGCCCCATAGAGTAACCCATTTGCCCAAGGCTGCCTCGTAAGGGACAGATTCTGGACTCTTCCATTGCTCTTCATCAGCTTCTGCTACTTCTAGTGCACATGGCCAGGAAATGGCAAAGGAACTCTAGAAGAATAAAGTCAAGACTACCACAGCCAAAACAGGCTTCAGCTTATAGAAGTAGTAAGAAAAGCAATAACAGCACAAAAAAAATAATGCGTTATCTTTCAGGCAAACAAGAAAACAAACAAACAATAGAGGCAGATGGCACTAAGGCTACGAAAGACATAGATAGGTTGGGAGTGTAGTACTCTTGCTTTGCCTATGTGAAACTCTGGGTTTGATCCCCAGCACCACCAAAACACAATAAAAACAAAATGCCGAGGTAAACAAAACCCTCAACTCCTGTTTTCTCTGCTAAGAGGGTGGTGGTGGATCTGTGACCTGGACAAAGTGAGATGATCTTTGATCCCTGACCTGCAGTTCCATTGGCTGCCCCAGCGACTCTCAATGTAAACCCTGGATGAACAACGTCAGCATCACCTGGGTGTTCATTAGAGATGCAGAATGCTCACATCACCTCAGACGCAAAATGCACACCAATCTATGTTTCAACAGGTCCACCTGATTCTGGTGCATGGCTTAAACTTCAGAACCGTTGCCATCAATAAATGAAGACCTGCTGACACCACAATTAGGTCCTCTGGGCCGCTGACCGTGGCCTCTTCTAAACTGAGCCACACTGGAAGGACAATGGACGCAGTCATCTTGGCTCCATTTTGTTTTGTTTTGTTTTGTTTTGTTTGTTTGTTTTGAGATATGGGAAAACTACAGACACCAGTGAGCCCAGTTTAGGAAGATCATCCATGCAGGGATTCGTAACAGAGGTGGAAAGAAATACTGCAAGTAGGAGTGCTCACCAGAAAATATCACGGTGTGCTGCCCCAGGGTCCCTGATCGTAGGGAGAGCAGGCCGGTATGCTTGATCTGCGTAGTCCCTTTATTTACACAGAGTGTCAGTCAGCTGTGGTGATGAGGTTCTTCATGGCAACTTAAAGGGCTGCGGCCTGATTAACAACCAGGAGAATAAAGAGGGGCAAACGTTAGCTTCCTGCTGGGACAGCCTTATGGATAGACTCCCTCTGACCCAGAAGGAAATCAAGACTCAGATGTGAGGTAACATGTCTCTCCTACAGATGAGAAGAGAAGAGCCAGAGTCAGACTCTGCCAATATAAGATTGAGATGTCTACACATCCTACCACCACCTCCCCATAGCCATGCCAGACCAATCAACCATTCTCTAATGACCACCGACCCTTCGAGGATGCTCATTCGTCACATATGTTTGTGTTGACCTTACCGAGACCTCTGCGACCCTGGCAGCCAGGCTCAGACCCTGTCTCCATTTTTGCCAGTGGCTCACTAAGCAAATTCACAAGTGAGAGGATTTTAGCGGAAGTCTCACTATTCAGAGTCTCAGAGCGAAACCTAAGCCAATCATAGGGAAGAAACTGAGAATTCTGACAAATCCCAAACTCTCCAGCTAGGCTGAAAACAATGGTGCCTTGAAACTGAGTGGATGGATGGATACCCCCAAAGGTTCCCATGCTCTCTGGGCACAGCGGAGGATGTTTTGTTTTTGACATCTTTTACGTGGTAGGGGGGGTCAGGGATCGCTTTGTTACTCTGCTTGGCCAGATCCCACTTGAAGAGTCACATGCACTTG